TAGCACAGAGAGTGATCCTCCACTGCTCTCAGTCCAGATGCAAAAATGACGAGATAAGGCTTGGAAACAAGGAAAGGAACAGAACAAACCAAGGAAGCTGACAGATTTGCATGAGGGGGTGGAGGAACCAGGGGAAAAGTAAAAATTTCACAGCAAATAGAAGTTGTAGCTAAGAAATGGGGATAATATATTTGAAGCAGAATAAGAGCAAAATTAACTGGAAAATTCTTGAAATCTAGAGAGGAGACTGGACACTCATGAAGAGTTGGAAGGATGCAGGGAAGGAAGGAACAGTGGGAGAGAAGGACAAGACTAGGACTTAGGAAACAGAAGATAGCAAAACAACTACCATCAGACATAAAAGAAAAAGAGAAAAAGAGAAAAAGAAAGAAAATGAGAAAGTGAAAGAGAAAAAAGAAAAGAGAAATAAAAAAGAGAAAGAGAAAAGAGACACAGGACCAAGACTGAGTAAAAGAATCTGGAGAATGTGAGACTTTGTGAGTTATAGTAGAAAGACTTGAAATAATTGGTTGTGGCAGGAGAAGGGGCTTAAAGAAAGAAAGGGTTATAAGAAAGAAGAGATACTGGACTTCCATCCTAGAAAAGCGAGGCAAGCTGGTATTGGTGATCAAGGGGACTGGGACAGCATCTTACCAGGTCTTTTGTAATGTGGGTCTGTTGGTTTGAGGTATTCTTTGGGGGTTTTTTGTTGACTTTTTTTTTTCCCCAGGGGTGGGGGGATTCGAATTTGTTTGGGGTTTTTTTGTAGCAGCATTTTTAGTGAAATTTCCAGCTATCCTTCTGATGTCTATGCAGCATGAACACTCAGAGATGTATAAAGAGCTAATCTGTGCTTAAACAGGGCAGGCAAAGGTTGCAAGAGTAAGCAGAAAAGTGTAATTACATTCCTGCGGTCCCACAGCAGGTTAGTGTCAAAATAAGGAACAGAATTCAGATTCTTCCTCCCAGCTCCAGTGCCCAGTTCCCCATATCTAGTTGCCTTCTTCCATTTGCATGCAGTGTATGAGCCAGACTGACAAGACAGGCACCACTACAGCAAAACACAGACCCATGTAGAGAGGCATAGACTCCTCTGCCTGCAGTCTGAACTGGAAAGACAAAAGACATCTCTGGTACAGTGCCATGGTTATCACAGGTTCTGTATCTGAACTAAAAGTTGATGCTTAGAAGAAGAAAATGGTGGCTTGACAACACCACCCTAAAGCAGCTGTAAGAACTGAGCTGCCCTGCATCTGCCCAGCTTGGAGCAGTAGCCGAGCCATCTATATCCATCCAGAGAGAACACATGTCCCTGAAAAACACTGTGCTTCTTGCCATTGCATATCTGCATTGCAACGAGGATTTGTAGAGCCCAGGGCCCAGCACAATTACCATGTTTTCTCCCTACTTCATTTGTCTCACAACAAACCACTAAACCTCAACTAATTGGGTGTTTGCTGCATAGCTACAGCAAACATACTAATCTTCAGTTCATGATAACAGAAAGGTCTACAAGCATTAGCTAGGCTTTACTTGTTGACAACAAATTAATGAAAGTTAATTAATTAATTAATCAATGAACATGTTCATTAATATATTAATTTTTTAAATATCTGAAAAATTACATCTAGCTACTGTTCGTTTCTCGTTCCTTCTAGGAAACAATTCCTCTACTTTATTTCCAGCTTCCCAAAAAGGATTACAGTTGATAGCAAACAATGTTAAAGAAGAAATCAGAATCAGTTGCTACAAATAAAACCAACACAGATTAAAAATCTTGTGTGTCTGTGTGGATATACGCAGGAATAACTTTCCATCAAATAGCTGCAGTTTGGGGGACTGAAAGCAAAAATAACTGATAGAAAATGTATGCATTGTTAGAACACCTTCCAAATCCTGGATGCTTGCAAGCTTCTGTTGCCATCAACAACAATTTCTAACTTATTGTGGAATTTATCATAATCTGTTTTTTCCAAAAGCTCCAAATCAAGAAGGCAAACTGCAATTACATCTTCATATAAATGGACAAATACATTCACATGTCTATATTAATCCAAATGTTAACTGGAGAACTCCAGATTTGACTCTAAACCAACACATCTGCTAGCTTTTATCTTTTCTGCATGTTTTCAGTCAAGTCTCCACGCTTTTTTGAAACAACAGAGAATCCACAAAGAAAGAACTTTGGCTTATGTCCTGCCCTAGAGACTATCTACCAAAACATTATGCTTTCTTTCTTACATTTCCTCTTAAGTCATATTTTAATTCTCTGATATCTCACACTGTTCATTATTAAAGAACAAGAAATTTCACATGGCAGTTGTACATAAATAGATTTTAAGAATGGAAAGGTTTGGGTTTCTGCAGTACATCTGATGGCAAAAGCAGAGAAATCATAATTACATCTGCAAGCATTTTTACTATGCTGTGAAACAAATATGTTTCTTTGTCTTTAGAGATACGTTTCCATTAATTCTACGCACAATAAAGCAAAGATCACAACCCAGAAAAAAGGTCTTCCCCATACTTCAATTTAAGCTCAGTAGACCTTCCTTAAGCAGGAGGTTCCATTGGTTATAATGGCTGTATTGAAATGAGAAAGGGTTGTGAAATTAGAGGAAATAACTCAGAAACAAACAGAAAATTAACATTATGACTGCCTGACAATGACATTTAAAATGCATGAAACCTTCAATTGCCAGAGAAAAAGAAAAATTATTTGCCATGGAAAAATTCTAAGTCAGACTGCTTTCAGTTGTTTTCATGTTTTTTGCATTAACATTTGAATAGCTTCTTTACAGATTCTAAATTTCAGTTCTGTAAGATTTACTATACTTTACAAGCATGTTTCCATGGGTCCCCCAAGTCATAATATATTTGCAAAGTGCTTAATAATTTGGCTTTGCTTCAAACTTGTTTTTCCTCTGACTTGCACCTCCTCCTCACCTATCCTCCAACTTCCCCATGCTGTGCTGAAAGTCCTGGCCTGAAAATCAGCATTCACCTGCTGAAAGCAGCTCAGCAGTCTATTTGAAATACATAAATCCTGCTGATTATGATGACACACATAATGACTGTGCAAGACAGTTCTCCCTACTTCAGTACAAGGATGTATTTCTGACTCTTTGTCCACTCCACCCCTACTATGGTGTCAAGTCTTCATGTTTTCATTCTGGCTCCTCCCCCCCATTCTGTGCCACTGGGAAACATCCATCTGCTGCAGCTTCATGAAAACCATTATTGTGTAACAAGAGACCCTAAACATGACACCATCTCTTCTGGAGTCTCCAGCACCCTTTCATTGATACTGACAGCAAAAACAGAAAGGGCTAAACACTTAAGCCAAAGAAGGGAGTGGAGAGCAGTGTGGGAGCAACAGAATCATAGTTCCACATAGCAGGCCAGAGGGAAGAACCACGATAAGGAGAAAATGACTAGTGATGACAGGGATGAAGAAGTCCATTAACTGGCTTAATATCAAAGAACACAAACTATTAAATTGCCACCAAACATCACTGTAATCTGTAATCTGAAGATGCTTCAAAAAAGTGAGACAAACAAATGTTACATCAGTATAATCCATTAGAGAGAAGGAAGAACCAAAGATGAGAACCTAAAAGAAAGTAGAGTCTGAATGCACAAGAAAAGATGCTTCAAAAAAGCGAGACAAACAAATGTTACATCAGTATAAACATTAGAGAGAAGGAAGAACCAGAGATGAGAACCTAAAAGAAAGTAGAGTCTGAATGCACAAGAATAACAAAAACTTTGGAGTAAAGCAAATCTTAAAGACAAGTTATAAGGATAATTTCAGAAAGATCATGCTCTTATCAAGAGGCTAGTCCAGGAAACCAAGCTCTATTTAATGGCAGTAGCCAGAGAGAAAACAGAAGGGGTAAGTTTCAAGGAGATGAGGGGAAACCAGACTGAGGCTCAGATTTTTTTCATGCCATTTTAAAATCAAGAGTTATCTGGGAAAGCAGCACACGATGGAACAAACCACCTGTTTAACCTCTACTAACATGCTTGAAATTCAGCTCCTGTAAAGAAAACATTTTAATATTTTTAATACTACATCACATAAAGGACTCATTTGCAGTTCCTAAATATGCCCTATCATCATACAACTGAAAATTTCCTGCCTTTTTTGACAACTGAAATACATCTCTTCTGCTTCATACAAGATCAAAGAAGACACTGGTGCTCCTACTAGGGTATATTCCTAAAAGTGAAAATCAGGGGCATTCATTGAATTTTAAATCTTGAAGAGGAAACAGGAGAGCTGTTTTTAAAATCTCTTCTGAGAAGTCATTCTTAGTCAACAGTTTCTCCTTTTACTGCTGCTTTGTTATCTCTGTCAGCCTGGCTAATACTGCTGTAATGCAATTTTCTGCTTACTTAATGGCACAGTATCTTGCATCTATATAATGGCAGCTGGAGTAATTTTGAAGATTAATTAGATACAATGAAAAATTATGCTTAGATTGAAAAGCCAGGTAGAGTCTCTCACTTCCCAGTACTCCAAAGAACATGACTGAACAAGATGGGGAGGTGGCTAGATCCCCAGTCTCCGTGTGCCTGCTAGTCCCCTGTAGTAGTTACCAAGGGAAGAACTACTGGTCTTTGTAAAAACCTGTGGGAAACATCAGCTTAAAATTAGATGCCTCTGGCACACTTAAGCACACTTCCTATATGAATATTTATGTAGGTACAACATATCAAAGCCTCTGTGCTCTTGTTACCACTAATTTCACATTTCCCTTCTAGTAGAGAGAGAAAAAAGGGCACCACTTGTTTCCTGTTTTGCCTAGAAAACACCAAATATTTCAGTTTATTCTCAGCTTCACAATCATCAAGTTGTACTCTAGCACTCCTTGCAATTTTCAACTTTTGACTGCCATATTGTTTGCCCCCAAACCAAGTTGTAGAAGAAAAACAGTTCACCAGTAAGAATCTTAAATCTTCAAATAATTGGTGTAGAAATAAATAGCAATACTAACCTCTTTCATTTTTTCCAGTTCATTCTGTAGTGCTTGTTTGGCAATTTCAACTTCTATAAGCTGCTGTCTTAATTTTTCATTTTCATCTTCTGTTATAGTACGTTTTTCCTCCACATTTTCTAACTCATGATGAAGTCTCACTGATACATCTTTTGCAACCTAAATGAAATGGTATATCAAAAGAAGGGTTAAAAAAATTTACTGCTGCAGGGCTTAGTGCCTAAGCAACCATTTAGAAGTTAATTCTGGGTGCTTTGATGGAAGAGGTATGTAAGGAAACAGGCAGACAAGGACATCCACAGACAGAATTCTAAGTAATTCCAACATCTAAAAGCAGGGCCCATCTTCTCCAGGCCTTCCCTACCTGTGTCCACCTGTGACCACAAATGAACACATGTTTATTTTGACTCTGCTAGTTTCTCTCTCCTTGGTGGAAAATCAGTGAAAATATTTACTACTATTGGCTCATTTTAAGATTAAAATACAAAGAAACAACATTTTTACTGACATCATGTTCACACAAATTAAAATGAACACTAAGGTTTTGGTTGTTTGGGGGTTTTTTTTATGCATTTTCACAGGAATAGAGTTAAAAGGCATATGACAAGATCTAATTCCTCCTCCTCAGGAAAAGTAATGAGAATCTTGCCCTGCAAGCCACTTGCACTATATTTTGTGAAACCACTAGAAATTATAAAACATCAAAAATATTTAAATATACACTAATCACTGTGTTCACGGTCATCTAGACACACAGACACATAGTTTGAAAGCCTCATTTCTTGCTTTTTTTAGAACATTGGAAAGCATAATTAATCCAACTTAGCATTAGCTAGGGGAGTTCAGCAAGCTGTCCTTTACGGCTTTCACTCAAACCATCTTTATGTTAGTATGTCAGAAGTTCTTTGACATACTAAAACCCTAGAGAAAAAATAATAATGGTAAGCAAGCATCTAGAAAGATCCAATGTATCAGAAATCAGCAGCAGCTGGTGACTCAGCCTCCCTTGACAAGAAACCCAGTGTGTGTGAATTACAGATACAACACTGCAGTGTAGCACAAGATCACTCAATAACCTCCCCCACTGCACACGCACTCAAAACACATAATGCCCAACAGAAAGAGTGAGTGGAGGGGAATTTCAATTATAACCATAGTCCAAAGAGACTGCAGAATGAGCTGAGAAACACACCACAGGGCTTTAGCTTGATGTCTTTTCCTACACTTAGTATTAAACTGCTCATCTGATTGTCCAACCAAAGTAAATGGAAAATCATGGGGGATATTTAAAACAGCACCCTAATGGAACCCATAGTCTGTAGATACATTCTGGACAAAACAGATAAAATAGATACAGGCAGTAAACAAAACCAAATTGTAATATAATTACTGGTAGCTATTTTTTTTTTCTTACATAAAAATTGGTGGAATAGCTATTAATGTAGGAAAAAATACAGAGCATTCTAGATCACATGGGAAATGGGACTCACTTATGCAAGATACATTTTAATCCAGGCATATGCAAGATACATTTTAAGATACATACAGCTATCTGCAAGACTGTATCTCTGAAGGATCAAGTTCCCTAGTATATTGCAAAATGAACAATGCCAATTTGGATAGTCTTTCTTCAGGAGAGGACTTGAAAATACTACAGAAACCCATATGAGTAACAATTATGGTTACCCAGCACCCAGAACTCTATTAGGCAGAAATTTGGCATTAGACATTCATCCCTACTCCAAAGCAGATCACATTCATGAACAGTGAGAACACTCTGTAAGAACACTGCTCCTTTCCAATGAGTCAGTCACACTGGGAAACACATGGGAGAAATGCTAATTAAAGCAAGCTCTTTGTCCAGCTAAACCCAAGGCCTTAGCTTCTGTCTCCTATACTGGCAGACAAGGACCACAGCAGAGGTGCCCTCAACAATTCCCTCCCCAGTCTGATGTGTATGACTTGCTAATAAGAGTAACACTGAGCCAACAAAGAAGCCAACTCTATAAACTCGAATCACAATTCACTTGGGATATGAAGACCCACCTTCAAATTCTGCCTGCAAATGTGTGTGTCTCAGCTGATCACCTAAGCATCATTCTGAGCATGCAAAACATCTCTTGTTTCAAACAGAAATCCCCATGAGAAGAAGGTGATTTTGCTTCTGATCAGGAGACTCTATTTTGCCAAGAACCACATGGGCAGCTGTATTAATAGAACTGTCACAGCCATAACAGAAAACGTGGGTTTTGAATACGCACAGAAAAGGAATATCAAATAGAAATTTTAATAATAGTGACGACAAGCTTGAAAACTTTCAGAAAAGATGATCTAAATCAGGTCGGAGAATAACATACTCTCAATCCATCATATTTATCAGAAAGAAGATAAAAAATAACCTTGTTCGTAATCATGTATTAAATTCACATTTTAAACTGCAGCCCACAGAGCTCATGAGCCATAGGTAACTAGAGTCCTAGGCAGAAGTGTGGCCAATAAGCTCACATTTGCTATACAGAGGTCTGCACTTCCATGAGAAAAGGTCAGTTGACTGGGAGACCAGTCAACTGAAACATGTTTAGGTGTCCTGATTCAGCAGGAGTACTTCAATATCTAGTGAATGGAAGCAAAAATTAAACTTCCAACTGTATCAAGAAAGGTTTTTTTCTCTGTAATTGGACCAATCTAGAATGGAGATGATGGGTATTTTACCAATGACAATCTTTAAACAAGGACTGAAACATTTCCTTAGCAAGAGGCAGTGGTTCATTCAGATCTAATGGATGAAATGCAGTTGAGGACACATTGAAATTTGATTGGTTTTGTCTACAATTTCAGGTAGATGTGAAAAACCCTGGATTCATTGAATATGACAGCAGTTTTTTTACTGACAGAAACAAAGTAAGGATTTAGTGTTAATACTGCAAGTATTCAATCTGCTTACTCTGTAAAATCTTTCGCCAAAGAGTAACAAAATCCCCTCAAAGTCAATGGGGCTGTTTGGTGAGGTTGGTTTAATTCTGCAGTGGAAGGGTATGTTTTGCACTCATCATAAAGAGTTCAAAACCTTTAGCTTCTAATTTGCTTTTGAGTAATTCCTTGCACATTACAAATATGATAGCAAGGGCTACATACAGCAAGGACTTCTATTACCAAGAAGAGCTTGGCCATTGCTATTCCACAAGCTGCGCTGGGTGCACAGCGGAATGCATGGAAACACCTGAGTCATGAGGACCAAGAGCATGGTTGTGTCTCCATCTGAGACGCTCCCTTCCCTTTGACACCTGCTCATGTCTGTACCTTGAGGTCCTGCTCCATGCTGCGTATGAGCTCGTTGTCGATCTCGCCAGTCTGGGCATAGCGGAGCCTCTTGCGCTCAGCCTTGCGCAGCCGGTACTGAAGGATCCGGCAGTTCTTGTTGGCTCGCTCCAGTTCATGGCGCATTTCTTGAAGCTGACAAGCATCCTCCTCAAAGAAACTGTCCCTCATCTCGTCCATCTCTGTCCTCAGCTCATCTATTTCGTTCTGGCACGGGGACAAGAAGGGGACAGGGACGCAACAGGTGAGTCAAAAGCACAAATGTCAGCACGTATAGGGGAAGGCAGCCAAAATGGAGCTCCGCCCTGCAGGGAGGGCAGGTTAATACCATCCAGCTCATTATAAGCAACTCAACGAGGGAGAGAAGTGGCACTGCCCGCACACCCCACAACAGAGCCATCTTAACGCTGCTCTAGTGCTCCTGCTGCAAGAGAAGGAGGCCAGGAAGGTCCTCCCGTCAGGAGGCAGCCCGGTCCCCGCCCGGCCCTGGTTGTCCCCCATCCCCGCCGCCGCCCCGGTCCCTCACCTTAAGGCTCTCGTTCTCCTCCCGCAGTTTCTCCATCTCTTCCTCCATCTCCTCCTGCAGGTGGGGGGTCAGGGCGACTTCGGGGCCGCAGCTCCTGCCGTTGCCTTCCGCCTCGCCCTGCCGCAGCCCCTCCGCCCCGGTCGCCGCCATGGCAGCGGGCGAGGAGGCGGAGGCGGCCGGGGGAGGCTCGGCCGGGGCGGCGGCCGCGGAGGCGGCGGAGGCAGCGCTGCCGCCGCTGCTGCTGTGGTTGCTGCCCTTGGTTTGCATCTGGGCGGCCGCCGCCAGCCCTTTCCTAAGGTGGAACTGGATGAGCTCACTTTGCAGGCATCCCTCCTTCCAGTACCCGCCGCCGCCCGCCGCCGCACCGCGGCCCTTCCCCGCGCCCGAGGAAGATGGAGGCGCCGGGGCCGCCTCCCCCGCGCCCTTCAGCGGGGACCGCCCCGCTTTCCCCCGCCACTGCTTGGGCGGCGGCGCCGCCGCCCCCTCCCGCTCGCCCCCGCCGCCCCCTG